TAAATTAACTTGCAGTGGATTGTTTTTATCAATAAATAAACTCGTCCTATTTGCATAAATATTAGTATTTTTATTTGCACCGTAAAAGATAGCTGACGAAAATTCCACATTTTCTTGTCAGATTTTAAAGCAACTCGTTTTGCATTTAAGAACAAACGATGAAAGGCTATTGCAGCCCGCAAAGGCATAAAAGTCACGTAAAGCAATTGACTTAGTTGAATCTAATTTTTCAGCTATAAAATGTGCTGGTTTTCTTCTGAGTTCCCGATAGTCATAGCTGATCCAAAGTTCTCTTAAACCTTTTTCTTGCAGGAAGAAAATGTGGTTAATGCATAAAACAACTAGGTACATCTGAAACTACAGTTTTTGCCAAGATGCTCTTTTTACCTTATTGTATTTGGTCATAGGCATATTGTATAACAATACGTACATCGCCTTCTTCTAGGATTCTTCTCACCTAAATTTGATTTGCCTGGATCGGAGTTGCAAATGATTTTCTTCAGATTGCATGTCAAAATTTCTTCAGGCAAACTTTGCAGAAGTGTAAACAAAGCCTCTTTATTGTCTGTGGATTTTAAAAAACTTTGACAATTGCAAGGTTGGAATTTTCACCGCTTTCCCGGACCTCGTTCGGTTCTCACTGCAGTTTTTAGACTATCCTCTAAGTGAGGTCCCAGACAAGATCTACTCTGGAGGCTCTATTGTTTTGTAAATCTTTTATTATAATGTCTTAAATTCTGTTTCCAGATATTGAGAAAAATGTCTTAAAAGTTCGAGGCACAACAATTTTTGTTTTGTTCCAATATATAATTGTGTACAGTGACACTTGACAAAAATCGTTAATTGCTACAAGAGTAAAGCCTAAATTGTATTAAATTGCGTTTGATATTAACTGTGAAACAATTGCATAACTGTATCAAAAAATCCATAGGGATACCAATTACGTAAAAGGGAAAAGTCCATAAAGTGACTTAAATTTAAATCACTTTCAATATTATTTAGAAGTATTTCGTTAATACAGGTCCCTGATGGGTCTTCTCCACGACTTTCTCTTCTTTTTACTCCTTCACCCCTCTCCCTCCTTCAGGTCGTCAACCCTTCTGTTCCATTCACCCTGAACAGTTCCCTCGATTACTTCCTTTAACAAACAGTTCTTTCTTAGTACATGTCCAATACAGTTCATTTTCCTTCCCTATATGATCTTTATTTAATATACCTACATCTTTCCTCTCCAATTCTACTTAATACTTCTACATTACTTATCTTATTAGTCCATTTGATATTCATCATTCTTCTCCATTACCAAATCTTCCAACCTTTCCTGATCTCTTTTCTCACTACTGTACGTTAGAACACTCCATACAAAACATTTTACCAATTTCGACCTTACTGCATAAAATCCTCTTCTTATACTATTAGGTGCTTGTTTTGCCATTGCTGTCCTGGTCTTAATTTCTCTTTCGCTTTTCCAACCTTGTGTTATCTCTGTACCTAAATACTTATACCTTTCCACTTCCTCACCTCGTCCACCACTACTGTTACATGCTCCCACTTTCATAACTTTAGTTTTGTTCTTATTAATTTTTAAGCTATACTCTTTTCATTTCGTTTATCTTTTCCAACAATATCTAAAGTTCTTTTTCACTTTCAGTAAATACAATCATGTCATACGCCAATAAGTACTAACAATCCTCTTCCCTCCGATTTTCCCCTTTTCCAACATACCTTTGCCATGTCTTCTACATAGAAATTGGACAAAGTTGGTGATCAGCAGCATCCCTGTCTAACTCCCCTTCCGATATCAAACCATTCCATCTTTTTACAGCCAACCCTGATTTTTCATTTTTGTTTCATATATAGTTTCGTATTTTCTTCTTTAGTATCTCCAATAGTTTTTTCCAGTTTACCCAATCGAATGTCTTTCCCTTTTCCAAATATCGTTCTCACCACTCCTATTGCGTGTCTCGTGCTCATTCCTCTTCTGAAACCAAACTGTTCCTCACCTATATTCTCGTCCATATCTTTGTAGACGTTTCAATAAATCTGTGCAGGGGATATTATCGACTCCTGTTGCCTTCCCATCCTTAATTTCTTTTATGACTGTATTTTAGTTACTAGAATGCCTACCCGATATTGTCCTTCTGTGCTTCCTTTCGGTGCACTCCTTGCCGATTTTCCGCTTTCCCCTGTCAGCTTTGTTTGTTTTTTGCTCGATACAATTTCTCTTCAAATTTTTCCCAACACTTTCGCTTTCTTCTGTCAGCAACTTGTCATTTTTATTTTCTATTTCTGTTCCTGTCATAGTTCCACCTTTTTTCCCCCTATTTAGCTCACTTTATTATATATCAAACCTTGTCTACCTAATTTCTCCAGTTCTTCGATTTCCCTACACTCCTTTTCAAACCATGCTGTTCCTGTCTTATCCGTTTTTTTTATTGGTCCAGTATTAAGTTTTCTGTACAATATTTTTCCTTTATCTGTCCCTAAATGTTTAGCTTTCCTGTTTTCCTCCCTCTTATTTACTATTTTTGTTGTTATCGAAGGTTTCGTTATTCTTGGCCCCTTGCTGAAACCGATGCACTCTTTGCCAATTTTCTTCTTTCACCCTCTTCCAATGTTTCTCCACACTTTCTTCCGTCCTTCGGAACTTTTCCAAATTTCTAAATAGATTTACTAGTGTTTTTCAGGTGCAGCTCTTTCTTTTATGGTTCTCAAACCATGTGTTGGTGACATTAAATTATTTTCTTTGCAAAACTCGAACAGATTATCTCCTCTTTCTTTCCTTTCTTCGAGTCCGTATTTTCCAACCACTCCCGTAACCTCCTTCTTTCCCACACTGGCATTCCAATCTCCCATCACAATCTTACAGCATCCCTATTCCTGTTATTCTTTCGTACAGTTTTTCTATTTCTTCATCTTCATGATCACTAGTCAGCCTTGATGACTAGTGTTGGTCTTGGTATCGCATCTACTTTCATTGCTATGATTCTATTACAGTCGTTTATTCTTCTTCGTATTAACCATAAATCCCACTCAATTTCTTCTATTTTTATCTCCACTGTAATAGAAGGTGAAGTGTTCTCCTTTTTCTACTCCACATCCACCCCATCTCATTTCACTCACAAAGTCTGCATTAGTTCTTAGCATTTCTCTTTTTAAAAATATATATCCAGTTGTGGACATCGTAGTACAAAATTATTTCTTGTAAACTTTTTTAATGATGAGCAAGATACGTGTAATTAACTTGAAAATTAACTGTAGGTAAACATTTGTAAATTTCTTATGCGTGCTGCTAATTAGTATTCTCATTTATTATGTCATAAAATGAAATATAATATTCTTTCTACTTCACATTTCAGAGTTAATTAAATCAACATTTTAGTATTTATAATAATTTTACGTCTCGCCTGACCTGACGTGGTTTCCGTAGCAACACACTGAAATGAATTTTAGTTAGCATTTTTGAATAAACTAGGACTTATGCATAGGAAGATATTTAAAATGCCAATTATGCGTTAAGCATCTGCTTTAAAAGGAAGCAAAATATGTTTTTCGGGTCGCCATTCGAGAATAAAACGCACTTTTAGTTACGCAAAATAATTAATAAACATTTTAAAAAAGTGACAAACGGATGATATAACGTCCTTTCTAATTTGATTTACTTGCCATAACTAAATGCAAGTGTAATAATTTGTTATTTATAAACCGCACGCATAACTGCTCTGACGGAACGCTTTTCTTTACGAGCAAACTACCCCTCAGTCTTATCTGATGGTTTAATTAAATTTTCTCTGTGAAAAGCAAATTGATGGAAAATTAACTGAATGTCGCCTGTACGTTTTTTGCATGTTAATTTTGTGAAATTTAATCTAATTTATAGTTTATAGAAATGTTTTATTCATGAAGATTAGTATTGGAAAAATGGATTAAAATTGTGGCCTTGTCACATTCGGTCACGCAGTCACCGCAATGCTGCAACTGCAATTAGATGAAGGTAATCGCTTCATTGAAATGCAATTACCCTCCCAAACGATAATATATATCTACGCTACTAGTAGTGCGGATTTCGCTATTAGAAATTAAAAGTGGACCGTGTTATTATAGTTATTGAGTAAACTATTTGGCTAATTTACATTATGTAGGTAGATTTCTAAAGGATGAATTTATCGTTGTTTCGTTCATCTATCTGCCGATGATGTTCTTAAAATACTTTCGATATTTCCGGTACCTAACTAGGTTTTAGAAATTAGCTTAGAAATATTTTTTATACGTTAGATAATTAGTATATTGAGAAACAAGTGTATAATCAAGTCTTTAAAGTACGCGCAACTAGTTTAAAGGCACGACGCGTAGCGGAGTGCTTTTAAACGTTGCAAATTGTTAAAAACAAGTTGTAAATCAGCATATGCATGATGAAAGCGCATTTTTGGTGATGCAGATCAGTATGCAGTAATGCAGCATGCACATCGACACTATAACAGAAAGATTTTAGTGAAAATTTAAAGTCTCTAGCTATTGTAATTGCTGAGATCTCAGCCGGGCAGCCAGCCATAACGAATATAATAGCAAAAATGCGCTTAAAAGTAATCTATGACTGTTTTTGAAAAAAAAATGAAGCTGTACTGTAAGAAATCCGGTTGGAACTCAGTCATAGATTACTATCCCTTACTACCCTTAATAGGGTAACTATTGGCATTAGCAATTTGGAATGATAAAAGAAAAACATAGTCCATGGCTACTCAGACTAAAAACTCGTGAAAACAGAATCTTTATAATTAATTTTTTCTCGTTCAAGAAGAGGTAGAATAATCGTTTCACATGATTTAGATGCAGAATTTATATCTCTATAACTTTTATTCGAAGTATTTTTGCGTAAAATAATTAGGAAACGTTTGCGCAAAGAAAAAGTAATTTCCCATGTTAAACGTCTATGTTCCACGTTTCGATTTACACCCTGTACAATTAATTACACTTAACCAAAGGGTAAAAGGTAAAAGAAGTAGAAGTCTTTCGGCGTTTATTTATTCCACAAAAATCTTATTTGCTAATGTTCTCCTTGAAGTGTTTGGTGATACAAAATCGAATTGTTTCGGCACGAATATCTGCAGGCGCTGTGGTTTCGCACGTATTTACTGCCTCAATGAAGGGATGCGTTTCTCTCACTTTCAGTACATCGTTACAGACTCCAGTGACAAGAAAGTCGCTAACCTTGTTTGATCTAATGGCATCGTAGTCTATTTTATTGCCAGGAAGCAGAAATCCCCATTTATCCCAGGCACATTCCACAAATAGGTTAAACTTTGGAGCTTCCTCGCTTGTATAACCGTGGTGGTAGTGATGAAATACTTGTTCATCGGTGAACCCGTGTAATTCGCCACATTGTTTTAATTCGTCGGAAAATTTGAAGGAGCACGAACCGTAAGCCTAAGAAAAATTGCAAAACTATTTCGGTGACTAACGGTGCATATAACTTACCCCCAAGATGGTGGCGAAGAAGCAAATTAGACCAAGAGTATTCATGGTGGTGAATTCTGTACTGTGTGTAGTCGCGACTGTAACTAAGTTTTATATAGATCTTTCTTATCGTAAAAGGTCGCCAGATAAGTCACTTACATAACGTTTGATACAGTGTTTGTTACACAATTTGGCCATTTTTAGTGAGAATATTACAAAATACTCGATTTTTTACTTTACGTCAGCATTTGATTTGAGTCATTCCATATCACTGCATAACTTCGCTTTTTTAAATTTCGATGAGATTTGGTGCGTTAGCTTATCTGGTGAATGAGACATTATCTAATTAATTGAGTAAAATACAAAAAAACAAATGGAATAAACTTTCCACCTTCGCGCTAAACAACATGGAAAGAATAATCCTAAACTTAAACAAACATTACAACTTTAGACGAACTGCTAAATTTACATTTTTATGGCCGATTTAGCAAAAACATCACATTCTAAAATGGTAAATTGTAAAAGTTGGTAAAAGTAACTGAATCTTTACTGCAACCAGCCGATTCTCTACTGTAATCAATATTACCTCCAGCCTTATGACCGCAGAAGTATTGGTGTGGCATGAAAATTGTAATATGAACTCCACTCTTACATGAAGTGTTTCTAACCCATCGACTGGGAGTTGGTGTACCTACTGTGGAAATTAACAAAATATCTATCTAATTTCGTAAATTACTTGTATAGGAAATGTGAGCGTTAAGAATTAATAGTGCAAATTCAGAGTTCGTTGTTTCCTATTTAAACTTGGCATTTAAATTCTTATGGAATCCTTATTATGAGCTGGTCACCTGTAGAAGTTTAATTTTTGAAAATGTCTGTTAAAGCAATGATCTCAAATGGAAGCTTTTTTCTATTAGGGGATTTTTCCTAAGCAAAGGCCATTAAAATCTTTGTTGCTAATAATATAGTTGACTGCATTGCTTTAAAATGTTTACTTATGGACGCCATATTGGATTTTTTTATTAAATATCACCGCATTCTTGAAACTGACATTTTTCGTTAACGAAACACCACGTTCTTATATAAGTAATTGAATGGAAGTGTTGATATGTTATACTTGATGAAAGTATTTTTATAAGCTAATTTAAAGGGAATATTGAAAGTTATCCGAATTATGCTTTTTTGAACCATTAATAATTTTTTAATATTAGCTTGCCTTCCCTAAAAAATTTATAAATTTTAGGCAAGGCGAGAGTACACATTTATGAGTCCTGATCTAGATAGCCAATCTTGTAATTGGTAGATAGCTTAGATTCGACAGTTCTTTGCCGCAATATCACAGTGTAACTTCCATGATAATTCTTCATCCATTTTCATTCCAACAAATGTTGTAATTACAGTGAATTTTGAGAAAAAATTTTAAATGACAATTTTGAGAAATGTTTAGTTAATAATGATCACATTTTTTTCATTATTAACGATCTCCATAGCGAGTTTATAATTTTTCGGTCTGTCCGTCTGTCCCTTAGCACGATATCTCGAAAACGAATGAACCGATTACGATGAAATTTTCTTTTTCTTCTAGTCACAATTTCCATTTCCTCCTGGCCCAACCGAAAGACCACAGGAAATTATACTGTAAGCTGAAGTTTTAATTGTTTTATACGTTTCTTTTTTTAATGGCATCAGCTTGAACTATTTGCTACAGAATTTGTTAAAAATCAATGTTTTCCCTCAGTACAAACTTCATCATAAACATTCCTGTCAAAAGAAGCTACCTACTAAATTTCATATGTTAAATAGAAGGGGAAATCCTAATTTATTGAGCTCTTCTACCGTGGATTTAAAATATCTATTAAATTAAAAGAAAACGTGGTTTAAGTCTCCGAGAGAAGGGTACTATAACATTTGACCTCGTGTAATACGTTTATAGTACGTTTCCATCTTGATAATGAGTTTCGTCGACACACGTCAGCCGTAATTCCGTTTAAATTGGTCCGATACCCTTTTCTGAATAAATTATGACAGAGAAGGTTTTGCGTATTTTAATTGGGATATCGAATGTGCTCCTTGATCCATTATAGTTACAACCCTCACACCTCTCCACCTCACTAGAATACTTCGAGTATAAATCTTTGTCGTAGTCATTTAGCGAAACTGCGGCACAATGTACTTTTTTAGGCTAAGCGATTGGGTTCTTTTCCCCTTCGAGATCGATAAATGGTATCCCTTATCGATGTGGAAGGGGAAGGGAAACTACTACACACGTCAAATTATCATCGTTTTCACTAAATGACTTTTCCTGAAATTACAGGTTTCCCTAAAAGACTACGATAAATACTTTAGATTCAAAATAAAAAATAAAACTTCAAAATTTTATTTGCAAATATAAAGAGTAAAAACAAAGGCCAATTGCAATTATCGAACAAAGCCCTTATTGCAATAGCAAGCGGAAGGCGGCCAATCCTTCGTTTTAATATGTCCCTTTTACCAATTACTCTTTTTGTTTTGTGAATCATTCATTGCATTCATGGACCGTTTCTTTCAGCCCATTATTCGGGGCCATTTACTTGACGAAGACGGTTCCTTTATTCAACTTTTTTGTTTCCAATTTTAAAACGTGTATTCATTTTTTTATAGTCTCGGTAAAATTTGTACCTTCTTATCTCGTTTCTTAGTATAGGATGCAAGTACACGGTGCAATAACTAACCAGGTTGTCTAATAAATAATTTTGCCTAAAATGTGGTAAATGGGGAAGGTTTTTTTCAATGTCTTCCAGTTTTGGTATACCTTTGCGATTAAATGGTCCAACTTTTCGTCATTTGCAAATGTTTTTCAACCTGTTTTAGATTAAATAGATACATGTACTTTGAAATGTTGCAATAAGTGATTCAATTTCTAAAGTGTAATACACTACATCTATCTAACGGTAGCTGTACGATAATTTTTCGATTTTTGCTTACGCGCTCTTTGTCCTTTGGTCTTTTTATGGACATGCAAGGTTTGTGCAGAGATACTCTGCATGAACGAATTGTTCAGGATTGAAGTAAAAAGCTATAAACACTATTGCAGCGCGTTTTCTACAAATTAAGAGCACTATGTCAGTAGTCATTCTTGTCATTGATAATATCGTTCGTTGTATATAATCCATGTTCTTGTGCTAATTTTACATAGTTTTCCACTGAAAGTCATGAAAAAGTGTGTAGGGCTGCTGCGATTTTTCAAAATTGGCAATCAAAAAAAGCCAAAAACTATTTCTTATGCCAGAAATGAATGTAGATTTCAATTTGAGTGTCACTTTTACTCACTTTACATTTTGTATGCCTATATCCGTTTTTGAGTTATTGCCACTTTTTGATACTCCTCGATTGCGGGGGTTGTAATTTTTGTAGTACCTACAGCAAATATTTGTACTTCGTTGATCGAATATGTGTAAATCCATAAGCAACCCTTCAATTGCTCTTTAAGGTTAAAGTTCCCTTTGGTTTTAAAATTACGAATTTTATGATTGTATTCAGACCTATATGTATAGCAATCCTCGATTGCGGGGGATGTAATTATTGTAGTACATCAAATATTTGTATTTCATTATTCGATTATGTATAAACGAACCATTAGCAACCCTTAAATTGCTCTCTAAGGTTAAAGTTCCCTTCGGTTTTAAAATTACGAATTTTATTAAAAAATTCAGACTCATATGTAAAGTATTCCTCGATTGCGGGGGTTGTAATTATTGTAGTGTAGTACAGCAAATATTTGTACTTCGTTAATCGAATATGTGTAAATGATCCATAAGCAACCCTTCAATTGCTCTTTAAGATTAAAGTTCCCTTCGGTTTTAAAATTACGAATTTTATTAAAAAATTCAGACTCATACGTAAAGTACTCCTCGATTGCGGGGGTTGTAATTTTTGTAGTACAGCAAATATTTGTACTTCGTTAATCGAATATGTGTAAATGATCCATAAGCAACCCTTCAATTGCTCTTTAAGGTTAAAGTTCCCTTCGGTTTTAAAATTACGAATTTTATTATTATATTCAGACCTATATATATAGTAATCCTCGATTGCGGGGGTTGTAATTTTTGTAGTACATCAAATATTTGTATTTCATTATTCGATTATGTATAAATGACCCATAAGCAACCCTTAAATTGCTCTCTAAGGTTAAAGTTCCCTTCGGTTTTAAAATTTCGAATTTTATTAAAAAATTCAGACTCATACGTAAAGTACTCCTCGATTGCGGGGGTTGTAATTTTTGTAGTACAGCAAATATTTTCGTTAATCGAATATGTGTAAATGATCCATAAGCAACCCTTCAATTGCAATTTAAGGTTAAAGTTCCCTTCGGTTTTAAAATTACGAATTTTATTATTATATTCAGACCTATATGTATAGTAATCCTCGATTGCGGGGGTTGTAATTTTTGTAGTACATCAAATATTTGTACTTCGTTAATCGAATATGTTTAAATGATCCATAAGCAACCCTTAATTGCTCTTTAAGCTTAAAGTTCCCTTCGGTTTTAAAATACGAATTTTATTAGATATTCAGACCTATATGTAAGTAATCCTCGATTGCGGGGGTTGTAATTTTTGTAGTACATCAAATATTTGTATTTCATTATTCGATTATGTTAAATGACTAAGCAACCCTTAAATTGCTCTCTAAGGTTAAAGTTCCCTTCGGTTTTAAAATTACGAATTTTATTAAAAAATTCAGGCTCATACGTAAAGTACTCCTCGATTGCGGGGGTTGTAATTTTTGTAGTACAGCAAATATTTGTACTTCGTTAATCGAATATGTGTAAATGATCCATAAGCAACCCTTCAATTGCTTTAAGGTTAAAGTTCCCTTCGGTTTTAAAATTACGAATTTTATTATTATATTCAGACCTATATGTATAGTAATCCTCGATTGCGGGGGTTGTAATTTTTGTAGTACATCAAATATTTGTATTTCATTATTCGATTATGTATAAATGACCCATAAGCAACCATTAAATTGCTCTCTAAGGTTAAAGTTCCCTTCGGTTTTAAAATTACGAATTTTATTAAAAAAATCAGACTCATACGTAAAGTACTCCTCGATTGCGGGGGTTGTAATTTTTGTAGTACAGCAAATATTTGTACTTCGTTAATCGAATATGTGTAAATGATCCATAAGCAACCTTTCAATTCTCTTTAAGATTAAGTTCCCTTCGGTTTAAAATTAGATTTATTAAAAAAATCAAGACTCACGTAAGTTACTCCTCGATTGCGGGCGTTGTATTTTTTGTAGTAGCAGAGCAAAATTTGACTTCGCTTAATCAATATGTGTAAATGATCCATAAGCAACCCTTCAATTGCTCTTTAAGGTTAAAGTTCCCTTCGGTTTTAAAATTACGAATTTTATTATTATATTCAGACCTATATATATAGTAATCCTCGATTGCGGGGGTTGTAATTTTTGTAGTACATCAAATATTTGTATTTCATTATTCGATTATGTATAAATGACCCATAAGCAACCCTTAAATTGCTCTCTAAGGTTAAAGTTCCCTTCGGTTTTAAAATTACGAATTTTATTAAAAAAATCAGGCTCATACGTAAAGTACTCCTCGATTGCGGGGGTTGTAATTTTTGTAGTACAGCAAATATTTGTACTTCGTTAATCGAATATGTGTAAATGATCCATAAGCAACCCTTCAATTGCTCTTTAAGGTTAAAGTTCCCTTCGGTTTTAAAATTACGAATTTTATTATTATATTCAGACCTATATGTATAGTAATCCTCGATTGCGGGGGTTGTAATTTTTGTAGTACATCAAATATTTGTACTTCGTTAATCGAATATGTTTAAATGATCCATAAGCAACCCTTCAATTGCTCTTTAAGCTTAAAGTTCCCTTCGGTTTTAAAACTACGAATTTTATTATTATATTCAGACCTATATGTATAGTAATCCTCGATTGCGGGGGTTGTAATTTTTGTAGTACATCAAATATTTGTATTTCATTATTCGATTATGTATAAATGACCCATAAGCAACCCTTAAATTGCTCTCTAAGGTTAAAGTTCCCTTCGGTTTTAAAATTACGAATTTTATTAAAAAAATCAGGCTCATACGTAAAGTACTCCTCGATTGCGGGGGTTGTAATTTTTGTAGTACAGCAAATATTTGTACTTCGTTAATCGAATATGTTTAAATGATCCATAAGCAACCCTTCAATTGCTCTTTAAGCTTAAAGTTCCCTTCGGTTTTAAAACTACGAATTTTATTATTATATTCAGACCTATATGTATAGTAATCCTCGATTGCGGGGGTTGTAATTTTTGTAGTAAGTACATCAAATATTTGTAGTTCGTTAATCGATTATGTATAAGTGATCCATAAGTAACTCTTCATTTGCTCTTTAAGGTTAAAGTTCCCTTCGGTTTTAAAATTACGAATTTTATTAGAACATTCAGACTCATACGTAAAGTACTCCTCGATTGCGGGGGTTGTAATTTTTGTAGTACATCATATATTTGTACTCCGTTAGTCGAATATGTGTAAATGATCCATAAGCAACCCTTCAATTGCTCTTTAAGGTTAAAGTTCCCTTCGGTTTTAAAATTACGAATATTATGATTATATTCAGACCTATATGTATAGTAATCCTCCATTGCGGGGGTTGTAATTATTGGAAAATATTCTTATTCTTTCATTAGGTGTGGTAGGTTTTGTAAGAAAACGTTTCATTTGAAATGTCATTCGAATCAAATGTCAAACAGTGTTATCTTAGGGTTCAAATTAATTTGTCCAATTTTCATGATGGATCAAATCTCCCGAGAATGACTAGAGGAAAATTTCTTAGATTATAAAATAATTTGTTTGAAAAGTAACCCGGCCCATAGCAACTAGTATGTTTCTAAAAACAAGATGGCGTAGCTTCCGGTATTTACGGAAGCGGTGCCATCTTAAAATTATTTTACTTCATTTTGCAATGGTCGATTATGGCTGTAAACCAATTTTTAAGGTTCTCTCTCAACTGCAAGTTTAAAAACTGCTAACGAACGGGGTATACGCGTGAATCTTCCTGTATAAAGGTGTACAGTTTCTATTTTAAAAAAAGTTATTTTAATGAAATCTGGATAGCCCGATAGTAATTTGTTTTTCTTATTTGAACCATTGTATTCCGGAGAAAAGAAGTGAAGCGTCATAGTTGGCAATGGAAGTGAACATTCCATGTAACTGACAATTAGCTTAATTAGACGTTTGAATTTTTAATTTAATTTAATGGATAAAATTGACAGGTCCGTCTGAAGTGTATTGACTTTTTTTTTACGATAAACACCTTACCACCGCCAACTCTGATGGTGAATTTTTTGAATCGCTTTTTATAATAAGAAAATATAAGCAATAATAAGGTACACCTCCAAATTGGCACGCTAATTTATTTATTATCCCTCTCTTGTTCAGGGCTCTCAACAGGCCTGCGCCCAATTACAGAGTGACCCGCATAATGCTATTTAGGGGTGCCTCTGCAGAAAGGAATTTATCTTCTAACTTTGTCAATGTTTTAAATAGCGACTGATGAGAAAAATCCCACAATACCCTATTAATATTTGCTTCGTTTTTCGGAATCTCAACTTTGGGGAATTGTTACTTTAAACAAAAGCACACTGCGCCTCGAAACAAAATCTCTAGGGGGGGGGATCTGCCGCAATCAAAACTTTACTATCTTGAAAAACAATGACTTAATGTTATGACACGGAATCATAATGTTCCCTTTATAGTTTTTCAGTGCGTTACATATTGCAAATACTGGGATCCCTCGATACCAAGGGCTCATAATACACAGGGTGTTACGATAAAGGTCGTATTTTAATCTGCGTATAGTACTCAAGAAAAGAAACAACTATTGTGTTGGTGTGATGTTGATGGATCCCCAACGGAAAATTTTGATTTTCTCGTAAACGAGAGGCGCACAAAATTTGGGAATTGGCGCACAATTTAGCACAATATTTTGGAGATATAACAAATTGTGGTGCCGATTTAGGGGTGCTAACTAAATCCAGTCGCAATAATGCCGAATTCGGTTAGAACACACCTATTGTACGGCCTAGACAGAGAGCACGTTCAGCTCCTGGTAAAGAGTAACTACATAAAACCAAATAAAATATTTCGGGATGCTTTTAAATTTGCGGTGAACCTTCGAGATCTCCTAAAATCTTTAAAGTTCCTCGTAGATCTCTTGAGATATTCGTAGATCCCTGAGTCATTTATTAAGTGACGGAGCAAAGCGATGGAAGCTTTATAGGGGAGTCGATGGTCTGTCTGTCGGTCCGTGACCACGATAACAGCCATTTAAACATTGCACAGTTAACCTATATACCACATGTAACAAGACTATTGAATATGGGGATCTTCCTCGGAGTTTTTTTTTTATTTTGAGATATTTCACAAAATTCTGAGACTTTGAGTTTTGAATAAAGTAAATTATTTTGACCCCATAGCAGAATATCTATTCAAACCTTACAAGATAATTGTGTCTACCTATCTTCGTTAACTGTAGCACGAATTTTATTAAATTAAAAGGGTTTATTCTTATTAAATCTGGAAGTTCGTAATCCTCCCTTCACAGCTCGTGAGAAGGCGGTATTAAATTAAATCCCGGGGATCGTTTCCATTATTTAAATTCTTCGTACTTCGTACAGAATTATTTAACATTCCATTACTGTATAAAAATTACTTTAGCGAAAGCAGGTAAATAAATCACTCGATAAATCCTGAATTTAATGATATCAAAACCAATTTTTTTTGTAATTCCTCATTTCTGATCGTACGCTGGAGGCTGAAGTGGCATTGAGTTTCAAGAACCGCGCCAACTTTCTTCTTGGTATTATTATTTAATGCGTTTTTTTTGTTGCTGTTGCTTTCGATGGGAAGTGCACTTTCAAGGATTCTATAATTTCTCTTTCTTTTCACGCCTCAGACGCCCGCGATGTTCGCTCTTTATTGTATAATTTCGTTTAATTGTATGGAGATGACTTACAAATATGTAGAAAAAAAGTGGTGTAATTTTTCTTTACATAATAGTTATATTCTTACGTAATCTTTCACAAACAATTTAATTAAATTAAGTGCAAAATGTTTCGCACCGTACGATTGAGAAGAGAGAAGAAAAAAAGATGATTTTGACCCACTTTTCTAGAAAAACAGAAACCCCTTCACTTGTCGCATCTGCGAGTGTAGCCGCTAAGCGGTCATTGCTTTTACTTTCATTATTCGTTGATTTTTAATGGCCATTACAAACGAGGAAGTTGATATTAAAATTCGTATGCGATCTTAACGGGATTTTCTCGAACAGAATATTTAATTCGGTCTGTTTCTATTACGTGTTCTATCTATTACACCTCAGGTTGAGCGTGGAATAACCAATGAATATGGCATTACTTTCTCCCGAATTTTTCTTAAAAAAAACGAGCCGGGTAAAGCTAACACTTCCCCCGCTTCCGTGTGACGGCTTAATGAATCTGATACAGATTCAACGTTCGCCTTTGCGTTTTAGTGAGAGGATGTGACCCGATTTTTCACCACTAAAATAATATCGTATTTAGTGACCGTATGAATAATATCGCGTGCAAGTGGGGATGAAGATGAGCTATAAAACGATGGTCTGATTTTATGCCACTATCAATAACTTTTAGTTGTTTTCGTGGGTAACTTCAGTTACCTACTCGAGTGTAAAATGAGAGCTTTTGTGGTAAGTAGAGTGATGGTGGCGTTCTTGCGTGGATTTTTAGCTGCGTGTTTTACAGCTCGTTGCCGCATTGGCGGCCCTTGTTAATGGCAGGCCGGAAGCCGGATACAGTTATAAGCCACCGTCGGGAAGTTACGGTGCACCCGGTGGACATGGTGGCGGAATTTCCATAACGGGAGGCGGTGGTGGATTCGGTGCTAGTGGAGGAGGAGGATTCGGGATAAGTGGCGGCGGTGCCAGCTTTGCTCACGGTGGGGGAAGCTTTGCGTCGCACGGAGGCTCGATTGGATTCGGCGGAGGTGGACACGGTGACGTCGGTTTTGGAGGAGGCGGCGGTTTTGGAGGAGGAGGCGGTTTCGATTATCACGGCGGTGGCGGTTCAGTTGTACAGAAACATATTTACGTACACGTCCCTCCACCAGAACCGGAGGAATACCACCCTCCCAAACATTACCCAGTCGCGCCAGCTCAGAAGCACTACAAAATCATTTTCATTAAGGCACCTACGCCTCCTACACCGACCGTTCCAGTTATACCAGTACAACCTCAAAACGAAGAGAAGACCCTGGTCTACGTTTTGGTGAAGAAACCCGAAGAAGCCCCCGAAATCCACATTCCACAAGCGGCACCAACTCAGCCAACCAAACCAGAAGTATACTTCATCAGGTACAAGACACAAAAGGACCATTCGGGTGGCGGTTTAATTGGCGGCGGCGGCGGAAGCGGAGGACTCATTGACGGAGGTGGACTAGTGGGAGGCGGCGTTTCCGGGGGAGGAATTTCCGGCGGTCACATTAGCGGAGGCGGTATTTCTGGCGGACACATTAGCGGAGGCGGAATTTCCGGCGGACACATTAGCGGAGGAGGCCTCGATGGAGGCATTTCCGTTGGTCACATTGGCGGAGGAGGTCACAGCGGCGGCGGCGTTTCCGCTAGCTACGGACCTCCCGGAAAAAGCGGCCCTTATTAATTAGTTCGTAAATACTTGAGATCATACGGGGTTCCCCTAATCCTGTACCTACCTGCCTGACCTGTGGGATTGTGATAGTCCATCTACCATTACCTTTTGTACATATTTTTCACGTTACTCACTTAGTTAATGTTATTATTATCATTATTATTTTTATTGCAAAAAAATACGGTGACAAATAAATGTATTTTTTTTAAACTAGCGTTTTTCTGTTGGAAACTTTAACTTACATGGGAGGTTAGCTATCAGATAAATGTAATGGAAAAGTGAAAGAGCGTTCTTAAAAGTATAATCTGATAATTTTACATTAATCCCTATCACATAATTTCTTTGTCACGTGTCGTGTGCCTTTCGAAATGTCTACGTAATAATCAAATTTGTTAAATAATCCACTTGGAATCGTGTTCTTAACATACATCTTGCACCCGAAACGTAGTCCAAAATGTTAACCTACGCTCTGTAAAAGAAAGTAGTGATGTCATTCGATTAACACCCATCATCTGCAACTCATACAATTTCTATTTCATTACTATCTCGATTGAAACATGTTCCCATTAACAATTCGATACAATTAATTTCGGAAGTCGCCACCACGGTACGATCCCTATTTAGGATCACTTTCTCGGCGCCCGCGACCTTAACCCTCGCACGGTCGTAGAAATTTCGATAAATCTGTAAAGCTCAAGGTCGCGGTCAAGAGAAAATATTCTAGTTAATATGCTAATCGATAGATACCGAATGTTAATTAGCTATATAAAAAATTTCTAACGCCCATCTCACATCACATTTCTATCCAAACAATATCCATCAGTGAAGAAGAAGAAGAAGAGGTTATGACCCGAATTTCACTTATCTAAATGTTAAAGATATTCGACGATGGTGTTTACTTACATGGCGGGGGTTTGATTACTTTAGTACTTAACAATGGTATAAAAACTTGTTCCCTTGAAGGTCTAGATCCAGAAGATCTCTGTGTTTAAGATGAATGTGATCGTATTTGTAAGTATTTTTTTAACGCTTATTTTTCCGCCCTCTATTTTACTGTGTTTAGGTGATTTCGTGTTTTGTTGCGATCGCACATTGCCGGCCGCAATATCATTATAACGTACCCTCAGGTGGAGGCGGCGGTGGAAGCTTTATTACGGGTGGTAGCGGAGGAGGCGGTTTCGTATCGGGTGGCGGTGGCGGAGGGAGTTTCGTATCGGGCGGCGGTGGCGGAGGGAGTTTCGTATCAGGTGGCGGCGGTGGGGGTTTTAGTGATGGTGGTGCCATAGTACATAAGCACGTCTACGTTCATGTAGCGCCACCGGACCCGGAGGAATTTCACCCGCAGCGCCCGATAAGCGTCGGCCAGTCTTCGAAGCATTACAAAATTATATTCATCAAGGCGCCCACGTATCCCACCCCGACAGCTCAGCAGATCGCCCTACAAGCGCAAAACCAAGAAAAAACGCTGATCTACGTTCTGGTGAAGAAACCGGATGAAGTGGCGGATATCGCAATTCCATCGCTTCCACCCGTACAGCCTTCAAAACCAGAAGTCTACTTCATTCGGTACAAGACGCAAAAGCAAGGAGGTGTTGGCGGTGTAGGTATTGGTGGAGGTGGCGGTTTGGGTGTGGATATCACCGCACCAATTCCTGGAGGAATCTCTGGCGGTGGAAGTGTTACGGGCGGAAGCTTTTCAGGTGCAGTTAGTGGTGGTGGAATATCCGTTGGAAGCATTTCAGGAGGAGGAGGAGGTAGCGTTGGTGTTAGTGGCGGAGGTCTTTCGTCAAGCTATGGCCCGCCGGGACAAAGTGGCCCTTATTAACATTCACGCAATGTAATTTTTGTTTTGTTATAAATAGTACCTAAGTTTTCTTTCCTACGGTGACAAATGTAGATTTGTAGATCTTATTAGAATATAAGTTTCGACTGCAATTGTTAAAGGTATGCTTGATAACAACCCCCATATCATTTCATTTTTTTCCATTGTTGTTATAAAGGCTCATTTGATAAATGTTATGAGGATTTTTTTTACTTTTCCCAACAATAATTTATCTATTTTAATGCGGTAAATGCAACTTACATTAACATGAAAAAGGATAATGGTTCAAAGGGCAAAATCAAATTAAGCAGGACACAACCCAAGCAACTGAAAACTATAAAAGCTACTTGATCATTTTATTTAATTTTTATTGTTAAAATAGAATGCCTATTCGTCGTTTTGAACATCAAACATTATATGGGAATCTAAATCACATGGTGCAAATCCAGTTTTTAAAATAATCTTGTTTCACGTTTATTTATCTTAATAAATAAACTGGTAGTAAACCCGCGGCGCTCGCGCGATTACCTAAAACGTATATTTTACGGTTGTATATCACGAATAATTAACATGACTACACTTAATAAAACTACTAAAAGCGCCTATGTTGGTTTGTGCACTTTTTAACTTCGTGATAGAATTCATATTGCGAATGAAAGTATCAACTTTTGACAAATATCAGAGCTTTTACTAAAATACGTTTTTTGAAACAAATTTGATTATTTTCATTCGCTTTACTTTACTTTAATCTTTCTGAAAAATGCGCCACACAGGTACTAAGTTATTATTTGCATGAAAAACACTATAAAATCTACTTCTACCTAGAAGCAAAGCGTAACTAGAATCAAAGAGTAACCTATAATTAGAATAAAAACTCTTCGATTTTGTTAGATTTATTAATTTACAATGGAGAATCAGAAAGTAACATAAAAATATAAGAAACATTAGTAAAGGCTCAAACTTGTTAACTAGTTTCAAATTACCTTCTTCTTCTAATAATTCACCTTCGACTAATTCTGAAAATCAATTTTGATGTGTTCTCCTACCTCTCTCTTCCCACGGCTTTTTTTAATTGGTTAGGGATCATAAAGAGTATCCAAATATACGAAATGCCCCCTCCCATCTTGTCAAAATGTTTCTAATATGTGGGGAGATGCGGTAGAAGGTGCGAAAAAATATTACCTCAGAATAACAAATGTAAATTCTGACAATTCATTAAAAACCATTATCAAATAAGACTATTTGATGTTCATATTTGAAGATTTCTAGATACCAAATGTCTTCGAGATTATAGAGATATGTATATACTTGCATCGCGTTGGAGCAATTAGAGCCGCTATCCCTGAGATTTAATAACTTACTCCAGATAGGGTTCGGACTGGGAGGCGGTATACGGGGGAAATTCTCGCGGAACTTTTTTTTGCAGAGCTCACCCCTAAAGATCGTTTTACCTTTAATTATTGTAAATCAATCATATCAAATAAAACAACGCAGTGTGGAACATACTTTAGCTCTGCATCGTTCTTTAATCATTTATTTTTAGAATTCAAGTTTACGCACTTGACAGGTGTGTACCTACAAGGTGTAACATTCAAGTTAGGTACACCCTGTACCTACACAAAAAGGGCCAAACATTCAACATCCTCATTAGTTGTGTGCTATTGCAGGCCTCCTGATGACTCTCTATCCTTTGCTCTTCTTTTTACTCCTTCATATCCTTCTTTTCCACCTTTACGTCGTCAACCAATTTCTTTCTTCTTCTTCCTCTTCCTCCCTGAACATTCCCCTCGATTACTTCCTTCAACAACTATATAGTGTGGAGGCATATGTAATCCTGTTTAAAACTCGTGATAATTTTTGACACCTTATATTTTTTTGTTCTTAGGATGTTACTGAACACGAAAAGTCATGGTGCCAGAATGACATTTGACCTAAAGGGTCATTTTTGACCTAGACCAAATTTAAGAAGAAAAAAATCAAAAAACAGAGATAACTAAACTTTTTATTGAATTTATTATTAATAGTTATTTACATAAAGGTCAGGAAAATGACACATTACTCAAGTAATGTCATTTTATAGACGAGTTTTGTATTAAATTTTACCCGAAATCATATTTTAACATTCAACTTCAATTTCATTCAATTTTCATATAGAACTTTTGATTAACGTCAATCTGTCAATGATGACAGGAGTCATTATAGACATTTAGCAATGTGACAGGTGCGGAAGGTAAAGTGACAAGTGCGGTCGATAAAGTGACAGGTGCGGCCGGTAAAGTGACAGGCGGCAGGAAAAGTAGACTGGTTTGTCTCCGTCATGGAAACACTTTCCTGACATAAAGTAGGCATGAAAATGAAGGTTTCATGACGATTTTGGGTAAATATTTTTTACCCAAAATCGTCCTGAAACCTTCGCTTTTACCTACTTTCTGTCAGAAAATGTAAGTTTCCATGACAAAGGCGGAGCAGACTACGTTTCCTGCCGCTTGTCACTTTATTGGCCGCACCTGTCACTTTACGGGCCGCATTTTTGACATTTGCAAATGTCTATGATAGCTCCTGTCATCAATGACAGATTGACCTTAATCAAAAATTATATAAAAATTGAAATTAAAAAAATGGAAACCAGTGAATTTTGTACCTTTGAATATTATGGTAAACATCAGATGTATATAGTTGCGTTGCTGAAATCTCATTTGACCTCTTAGGTCTTTCTAATATCAAACAAAACGACAGAATGTTATGCTTATTCACAACCTTATCTATTCGCCACTGTACTCATCGTCTTGTGAATCAGAGAAACGTGAATCTGTATTGTCACACATTTCTTCACATCCTTCACATTTGCACATCAGAGTACAGACCATTCCAGCTGCATAACATGAGCAGTTAGTTACCTCTGCAACGGCTGGTACCACACATACATCTCACAAGTTCCAAAATAGCTTCGGTTTCATGTCTGTGATAACAGGTGAAAATTGGCCATCCTTGAGAATCCAGTCATAGTCTGTGGCGTCAGGCAAATCAATTAACACCTTGTCGTCATGTCACCAGACCATTGCTTGGAAATGGGGTCGTAGCACATGTTTCAGCGCTGATTTACTAGGGGGGAGTTTTTCCGCTTCCGCCTGCTATTGCTTGAACATATGCCAGCGAACTTTGCCAAAATCGGTTTGTTTAGAGTTCGGCAGGAACAGACGGCAAACATACTCTTCAAGACACTCTAATAGTTCTTCGTCTGGTTGTGGTGTCTTCCCTAGCCTGCTGAAAGCATGAAGCACTCTCATTGGTGGCTTGCATAATGCTTTCCAGCATGCCAGCTTTCCTTTCCCGGAAAATCTTCCTGCGGTGTCACAGCCGGCGAAACAGTGAAAGCCTGGTAGCGCATTTACCACATCCGCCCCAAGTCCTTGATAAATTGGTTACAATTGTGCGACTTTTGTATTTTCCCCTTTCCCGGTGATAATGCAGGTGTCTTTTCCAAGTTCAGGAAACCTTCTGGCTTTTGATGGCTAGAATGAACACGTCTGTGTCAGGCGACAAGATGTGAATTGTGGCGTTAGACTTAGCAGCATCAAGCGCATGAAGAAGTAAGATTGTGTGGGTTTCCTCGTGATTGCTTGACAGGTAACTGACATCAGAGTTATTTGAAAATGCTCCTCTGATTGAGACAATACAGGTCTTGACATTAGACATATAATGCTCAATCAGTTTCAATACTTTCGTACATTGAATTGCGCAATTATTTTCTTTGTGATTTCCCAGGCCTAAGCGAGTGAAAATGTATATGGTAGATCGCTTTTAGGTACTTGAAACATAAGCTGGGATAAAGTAACATTAATTTGGATATGCCTCCTCATATAAATCTCGTAAATTAGCAATGCATAGAATATGAAAAGCAAATATACTATAGGAAAACTCTCGTTCGAACCAAATAATCACCTTGCTAACAAACACTCGCTATGCACCTAAATGGAAAATCTCACTTTGGCACCATGATTTTTTTTATTCCTGAACACATGTGGAAACACCTTGGTGCAAAAAATTATCACGAGTTTTAAACAGAAAAGTAAATCGCTACATATGCGCCTACACTAATATGTCTAATCCAGTTAATTTTCCTTCGCTTCATGATCCTTAATGTACATCTTTCCTCTCCAATTCTACTTAATACCTACTAATGCATTACTTATCTTATCAATCCATTTTACCAATCTCTTTCTTAACTGAATTTCTATTTTACTGCTCTTACTATTAAATCCTTGTTATGCCCGACTTACTTTCTCTTTCGCTTTTCCAACCTTGTGTTAACTCTGTACCTCTGTACATACAAATATCTTTCCACTTGCTCTATCCTCACCCCGTCTACCATTACTGTTATATCCTTTTCCCCTTCCACTTTCATCACTTTTGTTGTCTAACAATATTCCAAGTTCTTTTTCACTCTGAGCAAATACATTCATGTCATCCGCAAATCGTAATTATACTAACAATCCTCTTATCGCCGATTTTCATACCATATTTTTCTCTTTTCCAACATATTTCGAACATGTCCTCTACGTACAAATTAAACAGAGTTGGTGATAAACAGCATCCCTCTCTAACTCTCCTTGCGATATGAAACCAATCCGTCTTTTTACAGCCAACACTGATTTTTGCTTTTTGTTTCATATATGTAAGTTTCGTATTAGTCGTCCTTCTTTCCAGTTGACATCTTTCCTCTTTAGTATATCTAACAGTTTCTCCGAGTTTACACAATCGCTACACGGAAGGGCGTTCCTTTTTCCAAATATCTTTGGCCGATCGTTTCCATCACTCCTATTGCGTCCCTTATGCCCATTTATCTTCTGAAGCCAAACTGTTCCCCTCCTATATTCTCCTCCATGACTTTGTTAAGCCTTCTAATCTTTGCTGTGTGTGTCACTAGGGTGATTTATCTATATCTTGAATATTTGTGTGTACCTTGTTTTTTACGTACAGCCATCATTTCTGAATAGAGAATGTCTAGCCAAAGCCCACTTTCGTAGATTTTTATTACAAAGAGATGTAATTTCTTGGATTCCTTTATCTTACAAAGATTTCAATAAATGTATGGAGATATTATCGACTCCTGCTTCCTTTTTTTTTTTGCTTGATATAATTCCTCCATATTTCGCTTTCTTCTGTCAACAACTTGTCATCCTTATCTTCTATTTCT